ATATATATATATATATAAATATATATATATATATATATATATATATATATATATATATATATATATATATATATATATATATATATATATATATATATATATATATATATATGTTTATATATATATATATATATGTTTAAATATATATATATATATATATATATATGTATATTTAAATATATATATATATATATATATGAAAATATATGTATATATATATATATATATATATATGTGAAATCAGTTTATTGATATTTTTCTAACTCAGTCTGTTCCCTCTCAATCCATTTCACTCTATTCATATCTGTCTATACATATCTCTATCTATAAAAGGAAGGATGTGTGTGTAACAAATGCATGCCCACAATTTTCGATGGATTTGCACCAAAATTTACATGCAATTTACTGGTAAGGCCAAGACCATTTTTGCATTTCCAAACTCCCATCAATAGTAGAAATAATCGATTTTTTCATGCTTCTACAGCAGTTTTCATGTAGTTTGTGGCCATTTTGTACTAGCCAGATTAAGAGCCTAGAGCTGGCTGCCATGAATAGGCAGGAAGATTCTATTGGCCAGCGTGAGAGCCAACAGCTAATTGACACGAATATTAACTAGCATGCTAGCATGCAAAAAATTTGATAGCTGCATTCGTCACAAGTGGGAAAAATTTAAATCTGCATGGCACTTTACACCAATTGGCTCATTTGCTTGCTTAAACTCCACGTTGATTCTTATTCTGCAGAACTGGGTTGGGTGTGAAAAAGTATTAGCTGTTAACATTATTTTTTCATTCGGTTTTTCCAGTTACGAGTCCTTTTTTAAAGCTGATCGTTTTGTGTTCATTTTGTTTAGTTCTTTTTTCGTAACAGATTTAATGTTTTGTATAGAGCTTAGAAAAATTCGCAGTGTGAGATAGGCAAGAAGTAAGGCATGTAGCAACATCAGCACGGCAAAGGGCACTCCTTTAAAGGTAAGTAAGGGCAAAAATATTATAAGTCAAGTGATAGCGATTGCTGTATGAGTCATACAATTTTTGAATCAAGTACGGGCAATGCCGGGCCATGCTGCTAGTAGAATATATATGTTAAATTTGCATTTTTAAATATCAAAATAAAAGGATGATTTCTTTTGATACTTGTTTTTTTACTTTCAGTTGGCCAGAAGTGGGAGAATGGTAAGTATGTTATCTCCCCCTCTCTCTCTCTCTCTATATATATATATATATATATATATATATATGTAAATAAATAATTAAATAATTTCTAAACATTTTTTTTTTCGTTAATTGTTTTCTCTTTTAATTTGTAAATTTTAATCCAGATTCTGACAATGTTTCACTATTCTTGGCAGATGTTCTGTTATCATAATGTGGGAGATTTAATAACAAATTTATGTAAAGAAAAAGAATCTAAATGAAATTAGCTATATTATATACCCATATCATTATACATATATATATATATATATATATATATATATATATATATATATATATCATTATATATATATATATAGCCATGTTGTTGATGCATTGTAAGAGCTGTTATATAATCTATCAGATTTTGTTTATTTTGTAATGCTAAGTATGTGCAAGAAACTTGTTTATACATATACATACACATATTATTTTTACCAAAATTAGAGCAAACATATGAACATTACAATGCCTCATGATGAGACATAATAGACATTTATTGTCTGTTATATCTAATAATATATGTTTAAATATAATATATATATATATATATATATATATATATATATATATACACACACATTAGTGAGGTAATGGTTAGTGGCTTAGATTAAGGAATTGGAGAGCTGAGTTTGAATTCCAGTCAGGTTCATTACACTCACTTATGTACTAATACACTTATGAAAGGTATGAATCCATCTCTTCTGCCCTAGCTATGGGTAAATAGCAGGACAGAGTGTGTTCTATAGTCTTAGGTGGGAACTGGTATAGGAGGAGGATAACTTTCAATTCAGAACCTAAGAAGGGTTGTTTGGTGACTGTGTCACATACTATTTTTTTTACTGTTTTTTTTTTGCTTTTTAGTTCCTGAAAAAGTGAAAATAATAAAGAAAACTGAAGGTCAGTACATTCATTTAATTTTTGTTTCCATTAGAAATGATCACTTTATAAATCATGTAATAAAAAGGTTGCAAGAAAGAAGAGAAATTAGTTAAGCAACATTGAGTCTGGTCAGTATCTAGATGGGTGACAACTTGCAAGTACCAGGTGCTATAAGCTTATATGTGCAGGTTGTATAAGGGATGATAACTTAGAATTGGAAATTAGAGAGTCAAGTTCCAATTCCACTTGGGTTCGTTATATTCACTTACATGCAAATACTCTTTAGAAAGATATGAATCTAACTCTAGTACCCCCATATATGGGTTAATTAGTAGGGCATATCAGTAAATCCTTATCGCCCAAAAATTCTTACAATCTAAAAATAATTTCTGGCTTTAAATAACCAGTAAAAGATTGATAAGCCATAAAAAACAAATCAATCAATTTATAGATATTAATGGATTAGAAAAGATTAAGTGTAAGTATGTCATGTAATTTTATATACAGCAACTAGATAGACTTAGCAGTGAGTGTATTTTCATGTTATACCATGAATAAGGTTAATAGGCTTTTAGGTATATGTAACTTTAAACAGGGAGGAAAAGTATTAAACCAGCCCTGAAATCTACTAAATATAGGTTGATGTATACAGAAAGCATTATTCTATAAGACAAATGGTTTTCTTCATATTATTTTTGTGTTTTAAAATGAAGTCTATTAAAGAAAAGACTGCTGGTCAGCTATATAATATCTACCCCCTTATATGACTGTAAATTATTTGCCGGTTTCATCACAAATGAGTAAAAGACTTGAAGCTGCAGAGATATGGTTCTGCCAATGAATGTTGGGAATACCATGGACAGAGCATGTGAAAAACACAAAGTTTTAAGTGTAACTACAAAAACCGTTGCCAACCGGAAGGGACTAGAAGCAAAAGAGTTATTCTTCTACTGAAGAATTCTGAGGATTTGATGGCCAAAGAGCATGAAAAACAAGGAACTTTTAAGTAGAATAGGAACAACTTGAAACTGCTGCTAACAAATAAAGAGAGTGACATATGCCAAGGAATGTGGAAAATACGATGAACATAGAATGTGGAAAAAAAGGAAGTTTTTTGGAGAATAGGAAATACCAGGAATAAGAAATACATAAATAGAATCAATGACAGAAACGACACCAATATACATTACTTTCATGTAATAAGCCAAAAATTTATATCACTTAGTGTCCTCTGTAGTTTAACTTAACCTTTAGGCTATAAGATTTTCAGATATTTTCAACATTCTATAATTCAAAATTAGTATACTTAGTGTAATTTTTTCCTCCATGTTACTTCTATGTATAAATACAAAACAAAATTTTTATGCTCACCTTGATAAAATTCATCAAGGAACCTATTGGTCAAAAACTTTTCTTCTTGATATTTCTCTCATATTCTCTTTATCTATGTATCTGATTTTTATATATATATATATATATATATATATATATATATATATAATGTGTGTGTGTAATAATGGACTCTCCCGTCAGTTTCGATGTATGAGGATCTGACAGCTTAGTTGATTCAGTTATGAAATTTTCTGCGGTAATCTTAAGTGGCATTTAAGACCCGCTAGTGATTTATAAAGGAGGCCACATATGGAACAAGAGTGAGGATTGTGAGATGAGATCACTGTTAGATTGGCTTACCTTTTAGTTCTTGCTCTCACTTCTTGAAGATGATTCAGACAAGCAGATTGAAAACTGTTGAGTCAACTAAAACATGTTGATCTCCATTCTACGTGCTCTAAGGCTAAGCGCTCAAGGGTGTTATGTGGTATATTGACAGCTGACAAGTGTTTGTTTGTGTGTGTATATATATATATATATATATATATATATATATATATATATATATATATATATATATATGTATGTATGTATATATGGTGAGATGGATAAATTGTCGTCTAAATTATGCAAAAAAGAAAATAACACTGACATCTCATTTTAACAGATCCAAAAATTACACAAAAATCCAAAATTACACAAAAATATCTTGAAATACTAAAGAGTAAATTTCTTCAATAAAATCACCATTGTCTTCAACCATGGCCTCCAGATGACCTTGAAATCTCCTGCAACTCTTCTGGACGGCCTCCTTGTTTAAGTTGATGAATGCTGCCATAATCCTTGCCTTTAGTTCATCTTTGGTGTTATGTGGAGTTTTGTTGGTCTCCTGCTCAGCTGTGCCCCATACAATAATTAAGGAGGTTGCAATCTGGGGAGTTAGGTGGCCAGATGTACAGAGTGATATACCTGCAGAAATTGTCTGACAGCCATGATTGTATTCTCCTGTTTGTATGAATGGCGTGGAGTTCTGTTGCCAGGTTCTTCCAGAAGTTACACTCTTGACCCAGGTCAGGACTACCTCCTCAAGGCACTGGATGCAGGCCTCCAAACATCTTTGTAATCTCCATTAAACTCATCCAACTCCTTCTGAATCCTCTGTACTGTAGTCAGATTGAGACCCAAACATTCTAAAACATTAATATTGGAGCTTCTGGCATTAATGCCAAGCAGTACAGCAAGCAGTTTTAAAATTTCCGGCTTAGTGAATTGTGTTATGGTGCTCTTTGTCTTACAGATGGTGCCCAACTGACCCTATTATACTGTGCAGTCAGCAAAATCAAAAACAAACAACATGCACGTGTGAAATTAACAATAATAAATGGTGGCACTTTACCCATTTCACTCTGTGTTTTGTGTGTGTGTGTGTATATATATATATATATATATATATATATATATATACACACACACACACACACACATATATAAAGTGTGTCTGTGTTACCTATATTGTAAACTTCTTTGTCCCTGTGTACAATCATGTGACATTTGAGTCCCTCATCATACTTATATATATATGTGTGTGTATGTGCGTCATTTTTTGTGTTGTTCTTTGACATGTTAGGCATTTTAATTATTCACTTTTGTCTATGGGTATTAGATATTAAATATTTTCTCATCGAAAACAAATTCTGGTTGAAATGTTATTTGGTGCCAATTTACAAACATAATTGGTTTTGAAAGATTTTGAATAAATATGTCTTTACAATTACTTTTTCTTTGAATTTGAATTGAGCGATGGGTTATTCCTCCCACTATTCAATGGCATTTCTAACAATGTCTAATAATGGTACTTTTATATTCCAATTACAGAAAAAAAAAGAAATAGATACAAGTTTGATGTATCTGATTTTTTTTTTTAGTGTTGCTAGTTTATGAACACTTAAAATATTTAATAAAAACAATTTTGGTGAAAGATATTATTTCAAATGCCAAATATTTTTTACAATGTTTTATTCTCTAAAACACTAGTTTTAAAGTACTTTATTTACATTCCTTTAAAGCATTATTTGTCTAGAAAACACACACAAACACACTTTCACATATTAGATTGTGTTCAGTGGAATGAAGATGTTGATGTCAAGTGTCAAAACTGATAAACACTTGGGTGGTCATGTTTCTTTTGATTCTTGGTGGACTAGACAGAAGATTTACTGCAGTAGGCTGCCATTTCTTTTTGTGATAAACTGGTTTCCAACCAAGGCTAAAGGACCCTGTCTTTCCTGCTATTCAATCCATAGCTGGGTGGTTAAAACATAGATTCAACCATTTTGTCAAGGGTGTTTTAAAAAAATTGAATTCGTTATTTGGTATGCTTAATCTCTAGTAAAAAGGAAAAGCACCCTTGGCAAAATGTTTTTTTACATTTTAAGAAATCACATGGTATGATCATATTTTGTTTTGGCTTCCATAGGGGGATCAATTTACAATGGATTTACATAGCAAACTGGACACTCCCCACCCAATTACTTTCCATAAAACTTAATAAAACAATTTAATTCGTTATTTGGTATGCTTAATCTCTCATAAAAAGGAAAAACACCCAATGGTTGTTGTGCATACTTGAAGATATAACAATACAAACATGAACTTCAGTCATTTCCTCTTCAGTTTTGATCAGAATACACAAGGCATTTTTCAACAATGGAAAAGATACAATAAAATATTAAACAGACAGATCTTGTTAGTTATTTTTAATCAAAAATGTTTATATATATATATATATATATATATATATATATATATATTAGTCTTGGTTTTTCTCTCTCTCACTCTATTTCATTCTGTTCATATCTGTCTATACATATGGAATATATATATATATATATATATATATATATATATATATATATATATATATATTTGCATTTCTAAATATCAAAATAAAATGCAATTTTTTCATGACTCTTGTATTTTTTACTTTCAGTTGGACAAAAGTGGGAGAACTGTAAGTATTTTTATATCTCTCTCTCCCACCCCTCTCTCTCCACACACACACACATATATATATATATATATATATATATATATATATATATATATTGAAACGAGAGAAAGAGCAGATGAAGTAAAAGAAGAGGTACAATGTAGCACCAAAACATGAAAACTAATATATAGTATTTTCAACATGTTTTTTTCTAATATCTAAAATAAAATAATAATAATATATATATTTTAAATAAGTATAATAATAGTAACAGATGTATGTCATTCTAAAGTTTGATTTTTTGCTTTTATTTACTGTCTTCATGTTTGAGGGTGTGTATGAGTATACATGTATGGTTATTTTGAGTAGGTTTAACTAGTGTTGCCTTTCATCTTAATTTATTTAGTTACTTTAATGATTAGATGAAAGTCAGTTATGAAAATAAAGATACAATTACTGTTAAAGTGTGACACTGAAATCTGAATGTGCATTTGGGATAGTGAAGGTACCTTCCAAAAGCAAAGCAAAGTATTAAGAAACAGGAAAATTACATTGAAAACAAAAAAGAGCACTGAAATGATATGTAATATCAGCCCTTCTATATAGCATTGAATGCTAGAAAACCTTCTCACAGATGAAGAAGAGACTTGAGACAGCAGAAATTTGGTTTTACAGGAGGAAGCTGAGAATACTATGGACCAAACATGTGAGCAATGGCAAAGTTTTTGAGGAAATAGAAAAAAAAACAACACTTAGAATCAGAAAGGTATAGCTGAAATCTTTAGGACAAATAATGAGAAAAGAAGGCTTGGAAAATTTGATACTCACAGCTTATATTGAAGTCAAGAGAGAAATAGGGGAACAATGCTTAACCTACCTAGTGAATTTGAGTAAATGGATGGCAAACAGGGTCTTGGATAGAGAGCAAAAAGGTAAAATTTATTAAGAGCTACAAAAGACAGGAAAAAGTGGAGTGCCATGGTCGCCAATGTTCTGAAGTGACATGACATGTACAAGATGTGTGGCTACAGGAGATTAGTGTATGGATCCATTACAACAAATTTAGTACTGATTATAAGAAAATTGAGCTAAATAGGCAGT